TAATCAATTTTTTGCTAAGTTATTGACAATCACTTGACAACTTTATTTAAAGGTTCACAACATGAATATTTTTTATTCAGAGTTGAATGATAATTTAAACTTTAAAATCAATTTATAAAAAATGCAATGCAATGCAAAGTTAAATTTAAATAGATACGTTTTTACTGTACAGGATGCCTTTATTTTACAGAGATTTGTCGTTAAAATAAATATTATTTTTAATTATCCAATTCAATTCATATTAAAATAACATGATTTTTTTATCAAATATTTTTTATATCCAAATTTATATGTAATCGCTTATGCTTTTCAATAAGGTCGCCACCTTACGAGATACTTGCCAAAAAGTGAAAAATTTAAAGAAAGGGTCAAATTCACGATAAAACAAAATGTTTCAATAAAGCAAAGATAAATGTCCATTTAGGAACATTGAATATTGTGCAAGTAACATTATGAAATATTCTAGGTTCGATAAGAAAATGCGTCAGATTTCCTCTTCAGTATTAAAGAGTATTTTTTAACTAGTTTACTATTTCCTTGTCACGTGCAATAATTGTAACCTTTTTATGTAAAATATTTCAGATTTTAATTCACATATTCATTTAAGTTTATATTAATAAAGAAACTAGTTATTTCTTAAACATCACTACTTGTTTAAATAACTATTCATTATTCAAGCTTCATCGGCGGGATATCCTATCCTATACTTATGGAGGTCGGCACAGTATGTGCTGCTCCTCCATACATTTCTATCAGCCATATCTGTATCTACTCTTTCACACAATCCATCCATACTTTCTTCGGTCTTCCTCTGCCTTTGTAGCCATCCACAATATTCAAGTAATATTGTATTATATTGCAATATAAAAAAAATCGAAACCATTGAACCAGGAAACAACCCACATCAAATCCTAGTGAATTCCCAGGAGATGGTCACGTAGTGCGGTCCGGCGCGGTCTCAGTGCGGTCTCCGGTCGCGACCCACACCTGCGGTCCGGCCGCGCGGAACGACCGGTAAAAAATCATTCGTGATCTCAAATTACCACCGACTAGACGGTTTTATTTCTTATTTCGAGACAGTTCAACAGGTTGCTACCATGTTTTTTTCACCGATCTGGTCCAATTGCGATGCGGCCATTGTGTCAAGATATCATTAGAAATAGGTTATTGACAGAGGTAATATCGCGGTTTTTTTTATTGCAAAGTTACTTTAAACGACTATCTTACAAAAGTAAAGGTTTTGGTTAGCGTATATATATTTTGTACAATTATTACTCACAGCACAAGCAAGGAATCCATTAAAATTTTGCAATTGAAAAGTATTTTTTTATGCCACCTGAATCCTAAATGACGAAGCGACCGCTGCCCAGAGACATCTGCAATAACGGACACGTTGTCTACCCTTAATCGATGGAGGAAGAGACGCTCTGAATAGAACATTTCGCCTCCCTAGGCGATCCCTCCGTTAAATCCACGTTCCTTTTCCATCCCTTTCTTGTAACAAAAAGGGGACAAAAGTTGGGCTTCCAAATGTTAGTTATCTACTATCTATTAAACAAGACAATATTGGCGAAGCAAGTTGCAACAATCGCGTAAATATTCAAATAAATATTTCAGATTTGTGATACTAAATTTAATGCAAGCTTCTAGAAAACTAGTTTTGTGTTTAATTTTCACAACACGTTATTGTTTGGAGTTATGCCAACAATTTTAAGTAACAATATCATAGACAATTAAGTACGCTATTCTGACACAATCAAGAACTTAGACTTAAGCTAAGCATTAAAACATATAACTGTATTAGATTAATTCCGAATGATTGATGAGAAATACTGTAATTTATGTATTATCAGAAATACCTTATTTATTTACTTAAACATCTAAGGAAATTATTACCTTAGTGTGCTTACAATCTGTCTCCTATATTTACCATAGATATTTTAGAGATCCATTGTTATAATTTGTACTGTTACAATCTGTCACATTCCTTAATCATCGACTTGAACATTCCTTGACTCTTTATAAACGTCAACTACAATTCCAACTGAATCACTTTCCTGTTCATACCCTTAACTAGTTTGTATAAGAGCAGGTACAGACTAGCCGTATTGAAGCGTTTGGATAACGCACCATATATTTGAATAGCTCTTTCTTTAATAAAAAGCCCTACACTTATGACACGCTATAGACTAAATATTTTCACGCTAATTAACACGGGGGATAAATAAATTGGAAAAAACCTTCATGTGAGAAAGGGACCATAAACTACAAGCTGCCAACATCAAGGAAGCAATGGTTCGTCATCATGTCATGTCATTTTGACATTTGAAATTGATAATTTGACAAACGTAAACAATAAAATAACATTTTCATTAATTAATGCGGATGAAGCTGCAAGGTAACAGCTAGTATTAGAATAAAGTGTGTATTATTCGCTCGTGTCCGATGATTTTTAAAACGAGTGTCAATGAGTGTGCTGCAAAACTCCTAGTGTGTAATACCACTGTTATACGTCGCTCGTTGACAGTGCGAGCGTCGCGTTAGGTTATGCGGATGCCCGCGTCTGCGCGTGCGCGGACTGCAAAGCGAGGCCCCGAGGTCGCAAACGCCCTAACCTGTGGAATGCTACACACTATAGAGATAACGTATATGCGTAAAACATACACATAATTGTATACTAAAATTAGATAAGGAAAATATCCGGTAAGTAAGACATTAATTGTTAATACGAATAGTAACCTATTATCCCTCTAATGTATTTAAAAAAATCAAAAAAGAAATAAAGATTTACTAGCCAATTATAATCAAGGCACGCTCTATTCAAATCCGTTTAGCAGTGTTGCCACTACAAATATTCAATGCACGAATCACCAATAAGTACGCGGTACATTGTAGGCGTGTTTTTTAGATTAGCGGCCAGCGTTATCGCGGATCGCAGTATGAACCGTACCGGATTGGAATAAAAACTTCTTTTAACCTTACTTTAATCGTTATAGTAATTTCACATTAGATTTAACTGTTAAAACCTATCTTTGTCTATTGCTTTAATTATAAAAAGAAAAAATCAATTACAAGTTAAAATTGGAAATCTTCATTTTACTTTGCCATGTCATGTAGAAAAATAATTTGTGATTCAACTCTTCCGACGTACATCGGCTCTTATAGCTGCCCTAAGACACTTTATTTCAGGTTTTCTCGTCAACGTTATCTTATACACGTCAAGAGATATAAAAAAAAATCGATCCGTAACACCAGTGGGTATGCGCTGCGGTATGCAACCCGACACCTCGCGGTTTGAACCCGCACCAGCGCAGCCTGCCTTTTATTTATACAACCCGTCCATATTTGTAATCGTAAAACAAACTGACGTATCGGTGTCACTTGTTTAATGAGTGCAAATTGTATTACTTATGTTACATCCATAGGGAAATTCCTCTTGATATATTTTTTACATAATACAAAGGCGCATAGAAACCATTGTGCATTTACACATACAAAATTGTTACCATTTTTACAACCCCTTTTTTGACCATCAATGTCACTTGCGTATCAATTTGAATAAAGTAATTTAACAGAATTTTAAAGGTTTATTTTTAACATAGATGTTTATGAGAAAGCTTCCATGAATTTTCACTAAATGCCAAATTTAACTAACGATCCCAAAGAAAACCTTTTAACGCAGATTAAACATAAAAACCATGAAATTGCAGGCGTAATACCATTAAACAACTGTTATAAAAGTACTAATATTTCTTGAATTTTGCAAATAATTACAGGTAACAAAACGTTTCAGATTTGTAACAAAATAAACTGTCACTTAAATAAAGTTAAAGAAATAATTATAGTAATTATTCTGTCACATAAATTTTCCGAAGAACACAATTATATCACCGTACCCTCCGGTGTTATCTAGCCCTATACAATATATTAGCTATTAAAACTAATAATGACCCAAACTAATTATTTAAGTTCACACGGCATCCGATCACCGCCCCCGCATCAGATGTAATACGACCAATTATAGCTTATTACGATTGTAATTTGTATTGGTGATGTAAAAGATACAAGAAACTAAGAGGAATAGTCGTATCTCGTACTTGGGCGTCGTCAGAAGACTTCGACCCTCCCCCTTCTATGTAATAAAGATATAATAAAGTATTACGAATAAAACCATATTAAAAGAATTAAACCATCCGCTTCGTGACCGCGCGGAAAAATAACTTGTTAAAAGTCACTCTTTTATTTACTCTTTGGTAACAAAACATTTCAAAACTAGAAGGATTTCCTAAGAATTATGGATTCAGTAACCTATTTTAAAAACGAATCGTCTAATTATTTTAAAGCTTTGGGTTGCCAGCTATTATAAAAACAAAAGAATGTTTTTGCAATAATAAATATTTTTTACATTGAGGTTAGTTTATTTTGTACATATTTTTGAATTTTTAGGTTCAAATATGAATAAATTAATGTAATTTAAAAATAAGGTTTTAATTTATTTAGTAGTCTATGTACTACATCAACCATTTTCTACATTAGAAGACTAATAACAGATACATAAATCATAAATATAACAACATTGTTTAACTTGTTTGTGAAGTGGTTCTGCATCTGTACCTGTATTGCAAAATGATAAAAATATGCATAATTCCTCCTCACTTACGGTAGCAACACTTGATAAGATCAAAACTATTTAACTGAAGTTTTAAAGAGGAAAATATAGCTACCTACATTAAATAAAATCCTCTAATGTCAAAACAACCGCACATCAAAAACCCTTTTTTAGATAACGCCATTTCATATTTCTCTGTCTAAATAAATTTTATAACTTCTACGAATTGTATATTAGATAAACGCATTTAAAAATAAATTTAAACGTTTTCTGTAATATTTTAAAACACCTTTAAAACAATCATAGCATATTGCAAAATCATTTGAAAAACTTGGACCGAATTCTACAGAAAAATACGGAGAAAATCAATGTTTACAAACTGAAAACTCACCTTTCAGGTATTTCCAAAGGCAGTCTTCAGCTGCTGTAATATTCCTCAGTTTGTCAGATAAAAACAATTCGCTCAAAGTCACCAAATCACTAAACACTGTCCACTCAATGTTGCTGACGGTCAATAATCAAGGTTCAATTGACGAATGAAAAAATCGATCTTACATCGATACAATGTTATCGACAGTCAAAAGTCTACACTTATCACGAGGCAATTAGTATGACACACGTGGGTCGGAGCGCGAACGAAACGCAATCATACAACCTCAGCGCGCCAAACAGTCGGCCCGACTGAACCGAGTAGAACTCACTGAGTCACTCCCACACTCACACTCGCCGTCGCAGCCGCCGTCGCCACTCGACAGGTGAAAATGCAACAGTGTGGTGTCACTCGTATTCGACCTGAACCCGTGTGGAGGTGACTCAGGTGAAACACGCGCATGTTTGCGTGAACTATTTCGTTCGTGTTGGGGCAGATTTATTACTTGTAACGCGTATGTGTGAATGTTATTTACACGTGATCTCTTTTGTACTCCTGCGTGGCTACACGCGGTCACATGTCAGGTGTGCGTGTGTGCCGCCTACCTGTTGTGCCCCCGCAACTTATCACTTTTGTACTTCTTTTAGGGTTGTACATGAATTTATCTTATGAGACGTTCATTTTGCTCGTTATTGTTTTATGTTGGCAGTCGGTCAAAACAATTTTTCGTTAACACGTTCCTTTAATTTGAATAACAACGTTCGCATTTACGGATTAAGTTTGTCACTGAAACTTCATACGAGTATGAAGCGAGTAATTTGAAAATGACGTAAGCGTTATGGGGTTTTCCAATCATTTTCCGCCCACGTAAAATGATCGCATTATATGTGATATTGATATGCACACATGCACAATCGTGCCATTAGCACATTAGTGAACTTTATACAGCGTAAGGTCACGGTTTTTTAGTTCTAACACAATAGGTATTTACATCTCAAGTCACCTTGAAAACGTATAAAGACAGTGTCATAAAACGTGAGGAAAACATCATAACTGTCGCAGTAAGAACCTTAGATATTTATTAAATTTTTAAACAACTTGTAATGGTTAATATTTGTGTCAAAAGCAATTAAAACATACCTTAAGTAAGTAAAACAAGGTCGAAATTGAATTGCATGGAATATTGATGAACAATTTCGGATCGAACAATTAATGTCGTGACTGATCTATTTGTATTGTAATTTGTATTTAATCAGATTTAAGACTAGATAGTGCTGGCAAGTTGAACTCCGTTGTAGCCGACCTTTTTAGCTACAGTTCGATGTGTTGGTATCTATTGTCTTGCTATCAGATTGCCTGCAATTATTAACATAAGTAAGAAAACTGTCATAGGCAAGAGCCACTTAAGATGCAGCAAATTCCTCCTTCCACGCTTTTTGGACTTATCTAAAAGATTATGGGTCGAATAATGGAACGTCATTTTAATATGTAGCAACTTAAAAGTCACGTTTAGAGCGAGCGCACACCTTTGACAAAACTATCGCACAGCTGTTGTGCGATTGTCGATTGTTGTCTAAACAAGTTACTGACTAAACAGTTGTACTAAAGTTAAGTTTCATCACGCTCATAAACTTCAAATTCATTACAAATTTTGGCGTCCATCAGATTTTAACGGCGCTTACGAAGCATATATAGCGTATTAAGTTTCATTTCAGTTACCTGTTAGTCTGTCGCTTAGTCTATGACCAAGGTCAGACTGTCAATTGTTATTTCATAGCAGCCGCATCAATGGAAATAGAGTTCTCGATTTTATACAAAAGCCTCGTGGAAATTATATCTAAGTATACGAACCTTCCATACTTCTGCTGGGTTCCTGAACTTTCGATTTACTTTTTCATCATATAATCTTTAGTGTTAGTTTGACCTAAGTTTCAACTGGGCCAAAGTTACGTAGTTCAGAAACGCATTTCACGAAGTCATAGAACAAAAAATACTAAAGAATGCTTAAACGTAACTGGGAAACCGACCAGCATATAATCATAAATTAAAACCCTGGTTTCCCTTGTTAAATCTACATTTTAAAAGGTTTCCAATTCAACGAATGTTGTATGGGGTTTGATTTCGTGCGTAACGTTAACCTTACAGCATAAAATACAGTTACAAAAACAAAGTAAAGATAACATCTTGATGTAAGAAAACTGCACTGCGGGCATCTGGTCCGAGATCGCGGGTTCAACTCCGGGTCGAATGAAACATGCCTTGACTAAACATGGCGCGTATGTGATCACCTTGTTATAATGATTTTTATCTTTTTCAAAATGGTATTTATACTTAGTTATGTTAACTTTAATATTTTTTTGGAGCTATAAAGTAAATCATAATTCATATTTACTTTCTTACTAATGTTATACATCCGAAAGTTTCGATGGATGTTTATTACTACCTACCTCCAAAACGGCTTAATGGATCTCGATGAAATTTGAATCAGATGTAGATTATAGACTGGAAGAACACATGGGCTTACTAACTTTTTTTTTTTTAATTCCGTGTGATTGAACTGGCGTGAAAAAGGAATAAATCACAAGTTTCAAGCTTCCGAAGTTCCAATCGTTTCGAATGCCGAGATTAAAACATATATTGATGAAAGTTAGTCATTAACATCGACGACCAAAATTACATGGACGTTGATATATAAACATAGTATATGCTTTTCTTAGACGCGAGTTTATAAAAGAGGTTTCTGCGTCGTATTTAACATTTTACAATACTGCGTATTTTTATCATTCCTCAAACAATTCTGATTCAAATTCTAATATATTTTTGTTTTGTAAACAACATAAATTCTAACTCGTTTAAGTTAAACATTCTTTAAATAGGTCTTTTGCTCCGTAGGCGTACGACTCTAGGGATATCTTGTTAGTTGTACAAGTGACGTCTTGTAATGCGTCACAAATGTTAGATATGAAATGGTGACCCGCTGGCATTTACATACTCAGCCGAGCGGAAAACACGGCAAATAATTTCGCACGTTTATCAGATGTTTGTTATTCAAATGCTTATCAATGTCAGGGTCGTTTACAGAATAAATAAATGATTACAATACCTGTCTTCAATCCAGAGGAATAAACAGAGAAAACTTTGTTCAACTTGTATACCTTTTGCTGTTTTTACATCGCTACATAGTCGTATGCATTCATACCAGTTACGGAAACAAGATTCTTTAGGGCTTGTCCCACAATTATTTTAAATTGTCAGGTAACAATCCAATGTGTAAAATATATAATCCAATGTGATGGAAAAGTATCAGATTTTTGTACTCTGACAGTGACGTCATTTTTTAGCTATTTGATCCTCTATCAGCCAGTGGTAGGACAGGCCTAAAGTCTTCAAGCTGAAATATATCAGTGCGATTAAGGTGCCCTCTACCATCTCCGCTAATATAAGAAAAGCTAGTTTATGTATATAACTGGAGGTCGCAAAACTTAATAAACAAGTTAGTCGTCAACAAATGAACTGATTCGTTGAGTTACACAACTGGACACAGATCTAAATATAATTAGACAGTGCAAAGCCGCGTGGAAGCGAGTCTTAATAAGGCTGTTTCATAACCCTTGTGAACGCCACAACTATTTACACGCATTTCAATTAACAAACAGCTTGAATAACAAGCTATAAGTATTGACCGAGCTCGAGTCCTGTCGCGCGGCTACGAACCTCGCTCCAATAGGAAGTTATGTTCAGCTAAGATCTATGGAACATACCGAACAATAAAATGTCGACTTACAGAACACTATTAAATTAAGTCTTTACATGTTTTCCTTTAAAAAAAATCCAACACATTGGTTAAGTTTCAACGCCATAATATTTAGTGTCTAAAAACGTTGTATTGTGTATTTCTTTTAAATAATAATCATCTTATTTGAAGCTATTATGTGAGTTTTCTAACTGGATAAATTTTCTGATATTGGAAAATGAATATAGTACACTGAATGTATTTTCTTTAGACCCTAAAGCTCGTAGTTGTTTTATCACTCATACAGTCCTTCTTAAGTAACTTTTCATAATCTGGTTAGCCAAAAAAGGTGGTGAATAGATTCATGTTTATATGATATTAGTGGTTAATTATACGGAGATATCGAATAGCAACAGGCCGCTTCGTAGATCATTGCGGAGCGCGGCGTACGATAACATTCTCGTTTTAATTTATACAGGCTCGCAATTAAGGCTGTGTCCCCACTGGCACAATGGCGCGCGGGCGGGGATGGGACAATTGTGCACGCAAACTCGGCTATCGGCATCGCGGCCCGCGACCTGTCCATACCCCTGTCCTGTACTATGCCTAATCCAACAGTTAAAAATATAATATACTGTTAATACAAGTTGTAACTGGCCAGTTGTAACAGTTACATTTCTAAAGTGGTTTAAGATATTTATTTCTCTAAGAATATACAATTCGCTTAACGAGAAACATTTTTTTTTTTACATTTACAATTTACATCAGTAGTCTAGTTTATTATCATTTATATTAGGATTTTATTTTCTTTACAAAATTTTTTAATTTAATTTTAAATAACGACATTTTATTTTCGTCTCTGATAACTTTAGGTAAAGTATTATATAAGTGTACTTCCGCAAATGTTATAGTGTTTTGACCATAGTTTGTTCTAGGTTTTGATAATTTCAATTTATATTTGCTTCTGGTTTGATATCTATGAGTCCTCTTTTTAAGTACTATTTTTGAATTTGTTTCATTTGTTAAAATTTTTTTTATAAGTATGCAAATGCTTAAGAGATCTTATATCTGTTAATTTAATCGAATGTTTCGAAATAAGTATAAGTTCTTGTTGAGATTAGTAATATTATGTAAAACTTGTCACAGCCGTATTAAAAAAGTTAAATTCATGAAGAAAACCTATTAATATTAGATAAATCCAAAATGCAAAAAATCCCAACAAACAACAACAAAAACATATTAAATTTAAAATTAAGAAATACTTAAATTAAAAAACCATTATTTGTAAAAGTATTAAGTGTAGCCAAAAACGTCTTTTCTGTATTTAATCAGGTGTTCAATTATTTTAATACAACACGTAGTTACAATTAAATATACTTCGCACGGTAAATGTCAAAGGTCAAATAATCGACCTTCAGATCGATTTCAATTACAAATTTCAACACAATCAATTATTACAAAGCTTAGACATGAATACAATTTTTATACGTCAGACAGATTGAAATAGTGTTACTATAAAAGTCTATAATTGGTCTAAATAAGGGTGATTAGTTTGACAATTCACTACTAGAACCGTCCCTTAATTTATTTAATAAGTGAATTATAATATTAGTTCGATA